TCTCAGCTTCCTGTTTGATTGAACTGTCTGCCTCACCATGCCTTACAGCATTGTGTATGCCACTCACGCTTCTTAAAATCAGTCAAACCAGCCTCTGCTGCCTTAAAATCACTATCACAACTGTTCCAGGAGTTTTCCATGTACCAGATCGGTATGCAACTTCCAAGCCATTTCCGCAACATGGTCTCTGAAACGTATCACCTGCCATCTCTTTATCCTTGAACTACACAGCAACAACTTCTCAACCTGACGATGTCCTGTGGTCCTTTTTTTTTGGTTTAGCATAGTAACTCCTTTTCGCACCATCAGCTTCCATGATTGTTCTTTCTTTGCCAGGATAGAACCGATGTCGACATGTTTTTTTCCCATACATTCCTGGCAAGGTCAACAAAACTCTCGCACCACTCTCATACTTCTGGAATTATTTCCATCTTCACATCTATGGTGTTTCTGTTTCTCACTTTCTTTACCACGGGTACCACTAGCAAGTTTCTTGTGGCCCATGGTAGCTTATTTCACAGTCCCACAAGCACTAAACACAAAGAATTAAATCTTAAATGTTTGAATGAGAGCACAGTTAGAGTTCACTCAAGCATCAACAAAACCAGACTGGCCACGGCGCCTGCGCAGGGAACACGGACAGAGCAAGGCTGTACGAGACAGGTCCCCGTTACCCGGCAGTTACGCAAATAGGGGCGAGTTCGAATAATAGGGAACAAAGTTGGTTCAAAAAAAAGCGTTCGGATTTTCAAAGAGTTCGGTAAGTGATACGTTTGAAATTAGAGGCTCCCACTGTACAGTACTTTCCTATTTCCAGTATAAAAGAATGCCTAATATAAAAATAAAACGGTTTCCCTGAATACCTTCACTAAATATTACCTGCCAACACTCCAACAAGCTCGTCAGTTCCCAAAAACCATTTGGTCTCCATTTACTCCTATTCTAACACGCTCATGCAACGCTTGCCCACAAAAGCTCCTTTAATTACCCCTCCCCACCAAACCTTCTCGAGGACGACCCCCATCCCGCCTTCTTTCCCCTACAGATTTATTTCGCACTCCAGTCATTCCTTCTTTGATCCATTCTCTCTAAATGACCAAAACCATCTCAACAACCCCTCTTCCAGCCCTCTAACTAATATTTTTATTACTCCACACCTACCTAATTTCCCACACTCCCGAATTTTCCTGCAATATATTACACCACACAATACCTTAGAGAGTACATCACCCCTGCCTCCACTGACTCCTCGCTGCAGCACATTCTCACAACCCCAGCCTTCACAAACACCCATATAAGTGTGTTGGTATCCACTATAAACTCTTGCATACATTCCCTTCTTTGCCTCCATAGATAACGTTAATTTTGCCTCCACATATACCTTCGACGCACCACTCACCATATTTATTTTCATTAATTCTATGGTAATAACCTATCTATCATAAACCCAACCCGCTGACACATCATGCTTCCCAGATATTTGAAAACATTCACTATCTTCCATATTCCCTCTCTCCAGTGTGAAATCCAATTTTTCTTTATTCTAAATCATTTGATACCCTTCAACACCCTACTCTTATCTATGTTCACTTCAACTTTCTACCTTAAACACACCCTCCAAACTCGTCCACTACCTTACAACTTTTCTTAGAATCTCCCATAACAACAAATCATCAGCAAAAAGTAACTGTGTCACCTCCCCAATTTTGTATATGATGTCCTCATTATTTAAAATCCCCCCCCCCCCCCCCCCCCCCCCCTACTTAACTGTGTGGAAAGATTAAAAAACCCAATATAACGTACAAAATAGCATTTACTTATTTCTTTCTGCAACCCTTATCGATAAATATATTAAACAACCATGGTGACATTACACATCCCTGTCTAAGACATACTTTTACTGGGAAGTAATCTCCCTCTCTTCTACACACCCTAACCTGAGCCTCACTATCCTCATAAAAACTCTTTACAGCATTTAGTAACTTACTACCTATTCCATATACTACAGTGGAATCTCTACTTGCGAGCACATCCACGTGCGAGTTTTTCCAAATACGAGCAGTCGATGGGTTGATTTTTTGCTTCCATACACGAGCATAATTTCCATAAGCGAGCAGACCTCAAGGCAGGTTCCTTGACGCTGGTGAGAGGCTCTTGCTCTTGATCTAGGGAATTGTATCTCATTTGTTTGTTGGACTATTTTATTGAAACTTGGGCAATGTATGATGGAAAGATGCTTCTTAACATACACCAAAAATGAAAGAAATTGGAGCATAAATAATGGAGTTCACTTCTCAGCAATTAGCCACCCCTTAGCAGTATTTTCGTATAGTTTTTTATGGTTGTATTCTTCAAAAGGCCATCACTGGATGGCAGTGTTTACCACAACAAAGAGGGAGCAGTTGTGGCTGCTCCACCTGTTACATAATGACATATTTTATTCATTCTAGAGTATATACAATGGACCCCCGCCTTACGATATTAATCCGTTCCTTAGAGCTAATCGTAAGCCAAATTAATTTTCCCTATGAGAAATAATGGAAATCAAATTAATCCATTCCTGACACCCCAAAGTATGAAAAGAAAAAAATTTTTACCACATGAAATATTAATTTTAGTACACACAAACTGAAGAAGACATGCATTCACCATTACTACTCAACTAAACTACGAATAAATTAACTAACATTTACCTTTATTGGATTTCTGTGATGATGATGGTATTGGAGGAGGAGAGTGTGGGAAGATATTGTTAGAAGGGGAATCCCCAATCACATATAGGAATTGAGGTAGCAAGTTCCATTTCTGGGTTTACTTCTTTCAGTCCTATTAAATGCCACTAGGACCAACTTGAGTTCACTGACCTCTGTCCACAACAACAAAATTGTCCATAGAGCTCTGTACCTCCCGTTCCTTTTAAGAATTTCCCTAAAATGAGCCATAACAATGTCATTGTACAGGTTGCCAACAACGCATGCAGTAGCTGTGTCATGGTGATTTACATTCTTAAAAGCTTGCAGTTCAACCCACACATTCACAACATTTCCTTAATCTCTTTTTGTTCAATTCCATACTAATTCTCGCCCTTTTTACCGCAGGGATGGTACTAGAAGCTTTCTTTGGTCCATGGTGTCTTATTTTTAAGTTACAAACATTAAAAACACTAGTGATAAGGTGAAATTGTACCGAATGTAAGCGAGAGAAGTGACCGCAACTGGCTGCTTCTAAACACTGGTGCTGAGGCCACAAACATGGACGTGTCCCAGACAATCACCTAAGGAGGCGAGTATTTTATCTTGAGGCGAGGCAAAATTTTTGCGTTCAATGGCTTTGTAAAGCGGTTTTAACATAACGCGATGCGTTCCTAAGGCGGGTTCCACTTGTATCAGGTTTCTATGATATTTTATATTGTTTATATTCATATTAGATGAACTGAGATTGATAAATAAGCTGCAGAGGTAGATGCGAAATATTCAAGGAGTATTTTGTCCTGTCCTCCAGAACTAACTCTTTTTTGGCCTCCGCTGTCGCCCCCAACATATATGACATATTTTATTCATTCTAGATATATAACAGTTTCTAATGTTCTTTAAATTGTTTATTATGTCAATATTAAAATCAGTGAGATAGATAAATAAGCCATAAAGTTGAAATTAGCGAATTATTGAAGTACAGAATACCCACTGGAACGGATAATGAATTCGGAACATGAATTTAAATGAAAAAAATTGACTCTGCAAAAAAACGAGCAAATCCATGCGAGCAACGGTCATGGAACGGATTAAACCCGCAAGTAGAGGTTCCACTGTACTTGCATCAACATCTCCCACATTGCTTCCCTATCCACTCTGTCATATGCCTATCTAAATCCATAATTGCAAATGAGAACTTCCCTACCTTTATCAAATACTGTATCACAAATATGCTCAATGTAAACACTTATCTACACATATCCCTTACCCAATCTAAAGCCCTCCTTGAGCTCTTCCGCAATCCTACTTCCTCATATTATACCCACACAATCACCCTCAGCACAACATCTCATTGTCCTCAAGCCTCCTATTTTCTGCTTTACAACCATTGAAGTGTTGATCCATAGAATAAAGTTTCCCCTTTTTTGTCTTCACAATATCTTAACACTTTCAGCCAACTTTTTTCCCGCTCTTAATCTGTTGCCCTTAATTTGTCCAATTCAATGCCCATAGTTAACAGTTCTCTCTCAAATTATCTTGGAGGTGGTTTGGGCCATGTAGAGAGGAGGGGAAGGGACAAGATTGACAAGGGGTATATTAATCTAGGGTGGAGGGTAAGGAGAGGGTAGGGGTTGTCTCATGAATATCTGGAGGGAGCATTTCAAAGAGGTTTGATTTTTAGGACTTGTGTTAGCATGTTTAGAATAAGTAGAAAGAGGCAAGTGGTTTTTAATGAATATGCTGGTAGTGTGAGAAAGGTAAGCTTACAAAGATTCAGGAAAAGCAGTTAGCCAGACTCATGTCCTGAGCTGGAAAGACAGTGCATCTAACCATAAGATGGGGCAGGAATAATACAGTTTAAGAGGGTAATTTGATGTCATGTCACACACATTCTGAAAAGATGGCTGTTCAGTTAATGTAGTGTGCCCACCCAGCCTCCGCATGAATGGTCCAGTTTGAATTTAAATACAGAAAAAATGCTGTGTACAACATAAACCATGCACATACAAACAATCCAACTTCAAATTTTTTTTCCTTTTTTTTTTCCAAGTATATAACTTCCTTGTAAAAAACAGCAAAAGGGGTAGACAGGGCCAACAGGTTGTCTAAATAAAATTTGTGCCCCATAAAAGTTTGTCAGTACGCCTGGTCATATAGAAATGAAAACAGATTTTGTAGTTTTTGTTAAATTGTGTATGTGTGAGAGCAAGAGCTTAACAGAATTATGGGTGGATGGATCAATGGACCCAGATAGGGTATAGGAGAAACCTTTTTCTTGTCATTTATAATTTCAACCATTGGTTCTAGGTTCTGCTTGACACGGAAGAAATATTGAATGCTGGAAGTTGCTGGTGGTGGGGAGTGGGGGTCACACCAAATACAGAGTCTTGAACTTCAGACATGCTCGTGATGAGAGGGTTATGTTCCCAGTCAATAAGGTCTGTAATTTGAAGATTTAAAATCGTATTTTAGTTTAATAAACACTTTAGTGGCATGATTGGATGTAAGAATGTAGCTTTAGCGTGCTGGATTAACATATTTCCCCTCAGAGTAATACAAATATTGAATAGAGAAATAATAAACTACCATGTCATGTGGTACAAAAATAAAAAAACCCCCAACATAAAACAGAAGAAAAATACAAGAATCCTTTACTTCATACTGGTTCATTAATACACATGCAAATTTCACTTTAAGCAGAACAACTAAGAACCCAGCGTCTCCTCTGGCATAAATGGTGGGGATATTTCCCCACCAATAGATAGTAGGTTGGTAGACAGCAACCACCCATGGAGGTAGTACCGTCCTACCAAATGAGTGTGAAACATAATCATGTAATTGATTTGCACGATGGTTAGGATTCTGGTATCTTTTTCTGTCTCATAAACCTGCAAAGGTTGCTAGTATGGTCCTTGCACTCTACCTTACACTTAGGTCACACTACACGTTGCATATACAAGCATATATAAACTAATCCCTCTGGGTTTCATCTGTTTTTCTTCCTAGTTCTTGTTTATTCTGCTTATCATTCCATGGGGATAGTGGAACAGAATTTCTTTCCTCCGTAAAGCTCTGTATGTCGTAGGAAGGCGACTAAATGCCGGAGCAGTGGCAGTAAACCCATCCGCCTGTATAAAATAGCTAAACAAGTGAAAAGAAAAACTTAATTAAAAAAAATTGGGATGTTTGAATGTGCTTGGATGTAGTGTGGTGATGGATAAAAAGAAAAGATTGCTAATGTTGTGAATGAAAAGTTTGGAATGTACCTAGCCCCTAGAGTGAACAAAGCTTAAGGGTGGGTAGGGGAGTATTCAGTGGGGAGAAATAAATGGGAATTAATTCAGGAAGTGAATGGAGGTTAGAGCTAAGGAAGGGGTAGCAATAATGTTGAAGGATCAGTATGAGAGAGAATAGGTAAAATAAAAGTATAAATTTCAACGAATTATGTGAATTAAAATAAGTGGTCGGATATGAAAAGTAGTCATAATAGTTGTATGACACCTGGAGAAAAGATGAGTGTAGAGGAGAGAGAGAGGAGAATTTTGGGAGATGTTAAGCGAGTGTGTAGGAACTTTTGAGCCAAGTAGGGAGTAATTGTGGTAGGGGACCTAACTGGGGCTGAAGTAGGAGAAAGCATTAAGGGTGTGGTAAGGTAAAGTTTGGGGATGGTCAGATGTAAATGAAAATGGAGCATTTGCTCGAACTTTGTATATACAGGTGGTTTGTTAAGGAAATACGAAATTTAAGAAAAGGAAGATAAATAATATAACAAATATGATGTAGAGCGAAATGACATAAATTTGTTGGATTACTAATTAGATAATAAAAGACTGTTGGGTATGCATCAGGATGTACATGTTTATAGTAAGGGCAACAAGATATATCGAATTACTTTTTAGTTTTAGCTACAGTAAGAGTAAAAGGTATTATGATACAAGAAAATGGAAGCAACAAGTAAGAGAAAAAGTGAAGGTGTTAAAAACTAAAGGAGAGTGCAGTTAGGGCAAGATATAAACTACTGTTTGAAGGATAGAATGGGCTAGTGAGAGTTAAGGTAATGGGGTAGAACATGTATGGGGTAAGTTTAAGGAATAGTGTATGTTAGATTGTTCAGCAGAAGTTTTGGTGGTTACATGACAGTGGTTGGCATGTGAGGGAAGAGCAATTGGTGGAATGATGACAAGAGAGTAGTAAGAGAGAAAAGTTAGCATAGGATAGTGTTTTTACAAAGAAGTGTTGCAATAGGAGGAGTAATGTGGAGATAAAAGGATGTTTAAAAGAGTGGAGAAGCAATGTATAAAGAGAAGGGCAAAATTAGAGAAGAGTTGTTGAGATGGTTTATCAACAAGATATTATTGAAAGGTGGGGGGCTAGTGCAAAGATTGAGTAGCGGTGGGGGGGGGGGGGGGATTGAAGAGGTTTGGATGAGTTTTAAAAAAGCAGTATTAGAATGTGGGGCAGAAGTTTTGTGGTTATAGGAGGGTGGGCGGCAGGAGGATAGAGGAGTGATTGAGGTGGAATGAATGAAGTAAAGGGTTGATAAAAGAGAAAAAGGTAAGCTATATGAGAGTTTTTTACAAAGCAGAATGTTATAGATAAAGCAGAGTATATGTGAAGAGTAAAAGAAAGGTGAAGAGAGAGGTGAGAGAGTGCAAAGGAGAACAGATATTATGAAGTGGGAGAGGCACTGTCAAGAAATTTTAAAATGAAAATAAGAAAAATTTTTGGAGGCGAGTAAAAACCCTCAAACGGTCCAAAGAGAATCGAACGTTCAAATTTCGTAGTGCTACAAAAGAGATCTACTTTTTTTTATCATATTTTCAAATATAAAAAAAAAATGTAGAAAAAAGTTTTTAACACATTATCAAATGTAAAACAAAAAGATCTACATGTTTTTACCATACTTTCAGGTGTTGAAAAAAACGTAAAATACGTTTGGAGACCATTAAGTGTTTTTTATAAAAAAACAAGTTAAGAAAGCCTAGGAACGTATGTAATTTGTCACTTAAAAACAAAGTAGGGTAGTTAAAGATGGGGATAGGGAGGTATAAGGTAGATGGCCGAGAATATTTTGAGGAACTTTTTAAATGAAAGGGAGGAGGTTAATTTCATGCACTGGCCAGGAAAGGTAATACCTATCTTTTGGATGAAGAAGAGCATAATGTAAGTGAGGGGAGGTAACGTGAGTAGCATTACGTAGATGAAAGGGGGTAAAGCAGCAGGAACTGATGATCATGACAGAAAATGTTAAAAGTCAGGGGAGGTAAAGTTGTTGGAGTGGTTGGTAAGCTTTTGTTTAATAAATGTTATGAAAGAGGGTTAAGGTAAACCTAGGATTGGCAAGAGCAAGTTATCAGTCCCTTTATTATAAAGGGAAGGGGACAAAATGAGATTGTAAAAATTATAGAGGAATAAAGTTTACTGAGTAATACCAGAAAAATGTACGGTTAAGGGATCATACTGAAATAATAAGAAGTAAGACAGTAATGTGGTATTGCGTATGAGCAAGGAGTTTCAGAGTGGGTAGGGAAGTGTAGATCAAGTGTTTACATTGAAGCATAAGTGAACAGTTTTTAGATAAAGTTAGGTGAAGATTATTATTATGCATTTATTGTTTTATAAAAAGGCATAAGATAGAGTGGACCAGGAGCAATGTTGCAGATGTTTTGCAAGTATATGGAAATAGGTTTGGTAAGTTACTAAGTGCTGTAAAGAGTTTTATGAGGATAGTGAGGCTCAGGTTAGGATATGTAAGAAGAAAGGGAGACACATCCCGGAAAAATAGGTCTTAGACACGGAATTTAATGTCACCATGGTTGTAGTTAATATATTTGTAGATGGGGTGTAAAAGAAGTATATAAATGCAATGGTGTTCAGAGAGGTGGGATATAAATCAATGAGGGAATCAAATACAAAATGGGAATTGGACAGTTACTTTATGCTGATGATACCTGTGCATATGAGAATTCAGAAAAGAAAAATTGCCAGGTTAGTGATGAGTTTGGGAGTGTGTGTAAAGCAGAAAGTTGAAAGTGAACATAGAAAAGAGTAATGTGATGAGGGTATCAAATGATTATAGATAAAGAAAATTGGATATCAAATTGGGAGGAGTATGGAAGAAGAGAATTATTCAGAATATTATGGGAGTTGACTTGTCGGCGGATGGATTTATGGAAGGATGAGTTAATCATAGAATTAGATGAGGGAAAAAAGGTGAGTGGTGCGTTGAGGAAATATGTGGAGTCAAAAAACGATATCTAGGAGGCAAAGAAGGGAACGTAGAAAGTATAGTAGTACCAACACTTAATAAGGGTGTGAAGGCATGGATTGTGATATGCAACAGCGAGGAGGCGGTTGGAGGCAGTGAATGTCCTGTCTAAGGTGCAATGTGTGTGGAGTTGAAAATATTATGCAGAAAATCGGATGTTTGGAAATTGGAGAGGGTTGAGGAGTTAATAAAAGTAAAATTCAATAGGTCTAGAAGAGGGTTTTGTTGAGGTGATTTTGACATTAAGAAAGAATGGATCAAAGTAGAAAGACATGTGAGAAGCAATTAAATCTAGAGAAGTAAGGCAAGGTAGGGTACATCCTCAAAAATGTTGGGAAGGAAGGGGTAAGGGAGGTTTATGTGGGCGAGGGGCTTGCGACTTCCAAGCAGGCGTGCAATTAGCGTGATCGATATGTAGCGAATGGAGATACGAATGGTATTTGGGACCAGACAATCTGTTGGAGTGTGAGCAGGTAAAATTTAAGAGAAGAATTCAGGGGGAACGTGTTTATTTTTATAAGCCGGATCGAGACCCTGGAATTGGGAAGGTACATGGGGCCTGCACCCAAAAACGAGGGATATTCGGACATTACAGTTGGAGAGGATATGTTGATGTATCTTTATACTATATGCTCCCAAACTGTTGTGTTATCTGAGCACGCTCTGCAAAAACAGTGAAATATGAGTGATGAGAGAAAGTGTGATGAGTGATGAAAGAATTTCCTTTTTGGGGGATTTTTCTTTTATGTGGTCACCCTGCCGACGTGGGAGACGGCCAACTTGGTTGACAAAAAAAAAAAAAAAAGTTTTGTGAGAGAGAGAATTAATAAAGTTGAGAAAACCTAAAGAAAGAATGGATTTGTTAGTTAAAAATAGGGAGGAGAGTTATAAATGAGAGTTAGAGGTATCGGGAAGATGGAGGGAATATTTTGGAGGAATTGTTGAAATGTACAGATGAAGACTGAAGCTGTGATTTTGTGTATAGATCAAGGAAAAATATCTTATAGAGTGAGGAAAGAACCATTTGTGAGTGTTGGGGAAGTGAGCATGGGGCAGTGAGTAGATATAAAGAGGTAAAGCACTGGGATTGATGGGATAA